CAAAGGTTCCACTTTGATCCAGCTGGACTAGATGGCCTCTAGTCACCCCCGGGAAGTGCCGAGATGCTCAGGGCCCCCCTGTACGTGTTGTGTCCCTCCCGCACAGGCCCAGTACGAAAACCCTCCGCACATCTACGCCCTGGCGGACCAGATGTACCGCAACATGTTGATCGACGGGGAGAACCAGTGTGTCATCATCAGGTGAGGCTGGGGGCTTCCCTGGGGGGGGGGGTGGGGGGGGGGGTCTGTGGAAAGCTCATTCCAGGCCTGATTCCCCCCCCCTTCTTTCCCTCCCAGTGGGGAGAGTGGAGCTGGCAAGACGGTGGCGGCCAAATACATCATGGGCTACATCTCCAAGGTGTCTGGCGGGGGCCCCAGTGTTCAGGTGAGCGGCTTGTCCTGACATGAAATCACGCCCCCCCCCACATTGCCCCCCCCAGTCCAGGTTGTGGTGGGCTGGCAATGGGCCGAAGGTCCCATAGGAAGGTGCCCGTTTTGGTCACCTGGAGGCTCAGGCTAGAAACTGGGAGGCTGGGAGTTCTAGTGCCACCTTGGGCGTGAAAGCCAGCCGGGTGTCCTTGGGCAGGTCCACCTCACAGGGCTGTTGTTGTGAGGAAAAGAGGCGGAGGAAAGAGTTTGAGGCATACGTTGCTGCCTGCGGTTATTTATAAAAAAAGCAATAAAGGCGGGATGAAAATAAGCATGAAAAACAGAACCTCTTTCATTTCAGCACGTAAAAGACATTATCCTAAAATCTAACCCTCTCCTGGAGGCCTTTGGGAACGCAAAGACGGTGCGGAACAACAATTCCAGTCGATTTGTGAGTGCTGGGGGGGGGCTGGGGGGGGGGGGGGGCTGGGAGGTCCCGAATCTCTATCCAGAGGGGGTGCAACTTGCGTCCCGTTTCTACGTCCCGTTTCTTGGAAGCCCCATCCAAGTTGAAGCTTCGTCTTCGTCTTAAGGCGTTTTTCTGTCTTTCCAATCTGAAATGCTTCCCTGGGATCTCCTGGTGGTGTGTCATCCAGGCCTGACCCTGAGCTGCTTGGATGAGTGAGTGTACTCTGGTGACCATTTCAGGGTCGTTGATTCTAAGCCCATCACCACAGTATTTAGGCAGGTGCATGAGAATGACGGAGGTGGCCCAGAAAAGGGGCAGGGAGGAACTGAGGGGAGGGGGCAGAAGGGACAATTTATGACACCCCCCCCCCGTTTTCCCCCCCCCAGGGGAAATATTGTGAGATCCAGTTCAGCCGCGGGGGGGAGCCGGACGGGGGCAAAATCTACAACTTCCTGCTGGAGAAATCCCGCGTGGTCAGCCAGAATTCCGGAGAGAGAAACTTCCACATCTATTACCAGGTGGGTGAGCGGCCGAGGAAAGTCCTTGCGCCCAGCAGACCCCCCCCACCCGGACCCTCTGCATGGGTCTGACTCCCAACCCCATCATCCCCCACCCTTGCCCACGGCTGTCAGTCCTGGGCTGCCTGCTGCAGACCAAGAGAGCAACGTTTTTTTTGTCTTTCCTTGCACGATCCCAATGTGGCCTTTTGACCCGGCCTCTTCGGCCCCCGTTGGGTGAACGCAGCTGCTGGAGGGAGCCAGTCCGGAGCAGCGGGAGAATTTGGGGATCACCAGCCCGGATTACTACTACTACCTCAACCAGTCGGCGGCCTATAAGGTGGACGACATGAACGACCGGCAGGAATTTCAGGAGACTTTGGTAGGGATGCGGGCCCCAAAGGAGCCCCTTCCCTCTTTCACCCCCAACTTTTGAGTAAATGCACCCAGGGTGAGAGGGGGTGGGGGGAGCATGCCTCAACCCCTGGACTACGTCCCCCATGATCCCTGGCCATGGATCAGTGGAATTGTTTACCCATAGCTGATACCTTCTCCTCCTCCTCCTCTTCTTCCTCCTCTTCCTCCTCCTCCTCCTCCAGACAGCCATGGAGGTGATTGGCCTCTCAGAGGAGGAGCAGGCGCTGGTGCTCCAGATCGTGGCTGGCATCCTGCACCTTGGCAACATCACCTTCCAGGAGTCGGGCAACTACGCCGTGGTGGAGAGCGAGGATTGTGAGTCTGGGCTGCTTCAGCTGAGACCGGTGGGGTGGGGGGCGTTTGGGGAGGGTCCCACTCACTCAGGGGCTGCTGTCAGGGCAGGGGGCCACGGTCCCCGCACGATGGCCGAGGGACCAAGGGGGCTTGTCTTCTGGGCTGGTGGAGGAAACCAGGGAATCTCCAAAGGGAAGAAGCGGCCAGTTGAGCCGCTGCCCCCTCCGTCCTTCTCCGCAGTCCTGGCCTTCCCCTCCTACCTCCTGGCCATCGACCAGCAGCGCCTCCGGGAGAAACTGACCAGCCGCAAGATGGACAGCAAGTGGGGCGGCCGGCAGGAGGTCATCGACGTCACCCTCAACGTGGAACAGGCCAACTTCAGCCGCGATGCTCTGTCCAAAGTGCTCTACGCTCGCCTCTTCGACTTCCTGGTGGACGTGAGTGGCCGGCCGGACTCGCCCTGAGTGGGGCTTCCACAGCCAGATGGAGGGTTTGGATGGGGGGCGGTGTTGCAATGGGGCAGATCTCAAGAGCCAGCCAGGAAGGGCTCAGGCGCCACAGAAAGAGTCCACGGAGGGAAATGGGAAGTATAAATAAAAATAAACACAAACTGCTTTGGTGGCGCAGCCAGAGAAACTCCTCATGACTCACCCTTCCTTCTTTCTTCCTTCTCTCTCTCCTCTTTCTTCCTTCTGTCTTCCCCTCTGCCCGCTTTCTCTCCTTCTCCGCTCCCCAGGCTGTCAACAAAGCAATGGAAAAGCAGCACCAGGAATACAATGTTGGTGTCCTGGACATTTACGGCTTCGAAATTTTCCAGGTAAACCTGCAGCCCAAAATGCTCCCCCGCCAGGTGAACAAGAGGCCTCCTTCCATGCCAGCCTCTTCCCTGGCACAAACCGTCGGTTGGAGTTGAGGGTGAATTAACCTCATTGATCCCACGACTGCCACCAGTTGCAAAGCAGCCCGGCTGGGCCCAAAAAGGGAGAAAAAGATCCGTGGTGCGTGGGAAAAGGACGGGAGAGGCGTTCCCTCCCCTTCTGTTTTAGCCGTGGGAACAAAAGCCTCTTTGGGAGGAAATCTCCCCACCGTAGCTTGATAAGTTCATGATTTCACCACTGTTGGTGCCCAGTGCCAAACTGCCTTGAAGAAATTGCCCAAGGCTGCGATGCCAGCGTTTTGCACCCTTGCACATATTCGGGGGGGGGGGGGGGGGCTGGATTTTGGGGAGCCCCAGACCGGGCTGCGAAGCTGAGCGATTCGCCTGCATTGCACCTGGCATGGCCGGCCTGAGCTTCCGCTTCTCTCCTGCCAGAAAAACGGCTTTGAGCAATTCTGCATCAATTTTGTGAACGAAAAACTCCAGCAGATTTTCATTGAGCTGACCCTGAAGGCTGAGCAGGTGAGCCTCTCGGGGTTTGGTGTTTTTTGTTTTTGTTTTTGCAAATGGAGAACCTTTTTGCATTTTAAAAATCACCCCTTTGGGGCAAAAATCCGAAGCTTGGACAGGGCCGGAATGTGGGAGTTGGGCGGCCACATAGACCTGTTCCATAATACACAGTGAGAATTTTTCAGTGGGAAAGAATGACCGGCGGCTGAGTCCGATTGGGCTCAAGCGAGTGTTTCATTCGTCCGTTTCTCCCTGTTTTAACTTGTTCTCCCGGCCTCTTTCTCTCCGCAGGAAGAATACGTCCAAGAAGGCATCCGATGGAGCCCCATTGATTATTTCAACAACAAAGTCGTGTGTGACCTGATTGAGAATAAAGTGGTAAGCAAAAACCCTCCTTGTAAGGTAGACCTTATTTATTTCGAGAAAGGGCCCCAAACTTTGCTACTCTGAGCTTTGCTAAATTCCTTGCCAGGCGCCTGGAGGAAGAACCGTTCTCTTTTATTTTTATTTATTTTTAATTTTTGGAGTAAAGGAAAAATATTACCTTGCTTTAACGCTGCAATGCAAACAGGGAAGTTCTGGATTTGCAGAAAAACCTGGTTTTGCAGGAAGAAGAAAGGACATGCAACGGGTGGCACAGAAACGTGATCGATAAATATAACAAGTTGAAAGGAGGGTTCGGCTGTGCTGCGGTTGGGCCAAGTGACGGAATGACTTGGGGGAGGGGAGGCAGAATTCTTGACTGCTTTCTCGGTTTGGTCCAGCTTTTCTCTCCCTTCCCAGAACCCCCCGGGGCTCATGAGCATCCTGGACGACGTCTGCGCCACCATGCACGCCAAAGGCGAGGGGGCCGACCACACCTTGCTGCAGAAGCTCCAGTCGGCGCTGGGCACGCACCCCCATTTCAACAGCTGGAACAAGGGCTTCATCATCCACCACTACGCTGGCAAGGTGGGGGCCCCAGGGACCCCCAAGGACCCCTCCCCCTCCCCAAGGGCCAGCTGGAACCCAAAGCCCCCTTTCTGGTTCTGCAGGTGTCCTACGAGGTGGAAGGCTTCTGCGAACGCAACCGGGACGTGCTGTTCCCGGACCTGGTGGAGCTGATGCAGAGCAGTGAGATGTGAGGGCCTCTGGGGGTGTGGGTGGGGAGTGGGCTACACCAGCCCGAAGACCCTGGAATGCCTCCCCTCCTCCCTCCCCCCCCAGCCCGTTTCCCTAAACCTCCCTCTGAGGAGCTGCTTTCCTCAACGTGTGTGTGTGTGTGTGTGTGTGTGTGTGGAAAAAGGAGCCAGGGGGACCCTTGGAGGAGAGAGCCCAAAGGGGGGGGGCTCCTTCCTGGGGAACTGAACCTCTCCGCTTCTCCCCCAGCCCCTTCATCCGGGATCTCTTCCCCGAGAGCCTCAGCACGGAGAAGAAGGGCCGCCCCACCACCGCAGGCAGCAAGATCAAGGTGAGTCCAGGTGGGAGACTCGCCCAGGTGGGGCAGGGAAGGGGGGGGCTTTGGGGACTGCAGGACAATCCGATGGGAGGAAAGGCACACACACACACACACCCCTCGGCTGTGGGGGAATCTGTAAATATGATGATGATGATGGTGATGGTAACAGCATCCAGTATTTTTTTATTTTTTCTTTTTCTTTCTTTCCTTTCCTTCTCCTTCCTTCCTTTCCTCCCACCCTCCTCCCTCCTTCTCTTCCTTCCTTCCTTCCTTCCTTCCTTCCTTCCTTCCTTCCTTCCTTCCTTCCTTCCTTCCTTTCCTTCCTTCTTTCCTTCCTTCCTTCCTTCCTTCCCTCCCTCCTTCTCTTCCTTCCTTCCCTCCCTCCTTCTCTCCCTCCCTCCCTTCTCTCCAAAGAAACAAGCCAACAGCCTGGTCAGCACTCTGATGAAGTGTAGCCCTCATTACATCCGATGCATCAAGCCAAACGAAACCAAGAAGTCCCGAGATTGGGAGGAGAGCCGGTAAGGCAGCGGCCACGTTGGCCGGGGAATTCTGGGAGCTGAAATCCGTACAACAGGATAAGTTGAGGAATCACCCATTTAGACCGAGCGGCCTCCCCCCCCCCGCCCTCCGTCAGGGACCCCCAATTTGTGCCGGGGGGTCATAGCAGCAAAGGGACAGACGGGGGCCTCCAAGACCCTCCATTTCTGCCCCCTTCGCAGGGTGAAGCACCAGGTGGAATATTTGGGGCTGCAAGAGAATATCCGGGTGCGCCGGGCCGGCTACGCTTATCGGCGAGTCTTCCAGAAGTTCCTCCAGAGGTGAGAGCCGCTTTCTGGCCTTCCTAATCCCCCCCGCCCCCCCCCCCGCTTTTTCAGCCCACCTGCTGGAGGTGGGGCTGCTCTGAGGAAGGCTCGGTCCATGGTGCCCAGCTTGGCGATCCCTCCAGCCTTCAGGCCAGCACCTGAGGGGCTCCATCCTCCCCTCCCTCCCTCCCCTCCTCCTGCCCAGGTACGCCATCCTGACGCCCGAGACGTGGCCATGCTGGCAGGGCGACGAGAGGCAGGGCGTGGTGCACCTGATGAAGTCGGTCAACATGGACCCCGACCAGTTCCAGCTGGGAAGGACCAAGGTCTTCATCAAAGCCCCCGAATCGGTGAGCGCCAGGAGCCTTTGCGGCCAAAAGGCAGAGACCTCCCCTGGGGGAGGAAAATGGGGACCCTCCGCCCCCCTCCGTGCCCACACGCCTGGCACTCAATGCCCCCCTCCCCCTCCCTCGGGCTCCCCCCCCCTGCAGCTTTTCCTCCTGGAGGAGATGCGGGAACGGCGCTACGACGGCTTCGCCCGGGTGATCCAGAAGGCCTGGCGCAAACACGTGGCTGTCCGCAGGAACATGCAGATGAGAGACGAAGGTGAGGGAGGGCAGGGGAGGGGCAGGCAGACAAGGGGGTGCTTTGGCCCAGGAGCCCTCCGGGAGCACACACACACACACCCCCCGCTCTCCTTTGGTGGAGAATTCAAAACTGGGTGTTTTATTTGTTCAGTGGAACAACTTGCCTCCAGAAGTTGTAAATGCTGGACATTTCTAAGAAGAGATTGGAAATGGTCTGGGGTTTCCTGCCTAAGCAGAGGGTTGGACTAGAAGACCTCCAAGGTCCCTTTCAACTCTTCTTATTCCATTCCATTCCATTCCATTCTATTTTTTTCTGCCCGCGTGCAGTGACCAAAACGAGCCACCAGAGGGCGGCCTTTACCTGCCCTTCGGAGAAGCCCATCCATTCCTCCCGCAGAGGGCCAGGCGGCCTCTGAGCATGTGCAGAGGGACTCCTGCCTTCTACCCCATGCCAACCGCAGCCGGTTCTGACTCCGATTTCCCCTTCTTCCCCCCAAAGCCTCCAACCTCGTCCTCAACAAGAAGGAGCGCCGTCGCAACAGCCTGAACCGCAACTTCATGGGTGATTACATCGGCCTGGACAACCACCCCGAACTCCGCCGGTTCCTGGGCCGCAGGGAGCGGGTGGACTTTGCCGACACCGTCACTAAGTACGACCGGCGCTTCAAGGTGAGGCGTGGCACTGCTGGATCCGGCTGCTTCCCTTCTTGACGGGCCATAAGATAGGCCATGCCTGTGGCTGGAGGTTCTCCACCTTGGCTTCTCTTGCCTTTGATGAGAATTTGGCCTTGGGGAGCTGCCTCCCTGGGGGGCTGAACCCTCTTTTTGTGGTCCTGGCGCAGACGGTCAAGCGGGACCTGATCCTCACCCCCAAATTCCTCTACCTGATCGGGCGGGAGAAAGTGAAGCAGGGTCCGGAAAAGGGGTCCATCAAGGAAGTGCTGAAGAGGCAGCTGGAGGTGGAGAGGATCCAGTCGGTCTCCCTTAGGTGAGCAGGGAGAATTGGGGAGGGAGTGGGGGGCTCCCCTGGGCAGAGAGAGGCGCTTGGGAGCCTGTGGGACTCCCTGCCACTTGAAATTCCCAGATTCTCCACCCTGGAGCCCGTTTCCTCCCCTTCTGCCCCACCCGCCGTGATGCCGGGTGCTTATGGGGAGGGGGCAGCCGTGCCAAGAGGACCCCCACCCCCTCCTGACTACGCTTTCCACCCGCTGCCCCTTCCCCCAGCACACTGCAGGACGATTTCCTCATCCTCCACGAGTCCCAGTACGACACGGTGCTGGAGTCCGTCTTCAAGACGGAGCTGCTGAGCCTGCTTTTCAAGCGCTATGGAGAAAGGACCCAGAAGCAGCTGCCCATCAAGTTCGGCAACCAGTAGGCCTCGGACCCCCCCCCTCCCCCCCACCTTTCCTGCGCTTAGGGACTCTGGGTAGACTTCTCCTGGGCAGGGAGGGTTTCCAGGCCTCGTTTCTAGCCCTGGTTAAGGAGATGAGGATCGTCACTGCAAATTTCTCCTTTGCACGACTTCCCCCTTCAAGGAGACGGGAGGGCAGCGCTCGTCTTCGGCCAACCTCCCCAAAATTAGGGATGGGGCACCACCAGGAGATCCCGTCAATACACGCCAGGAGGCAGGGGCTGCAAACTGCTTAGTATTCCTGAGGATTTGAACCCAGCGCTAATGGGGCAGCACCCCTGTTCCTGCCCCTTGCCTGCATATCCCCCTCCCCCCAATTCCCTTTCTCTCTGCACATTTCCCCCCCCCCCAGGCTGGAGTTCAAGGTGAAGAAGGACGGCTGGGGGCCCTGGGCAGCGGCTGGATCCCGACAGATCCAATTCCAGATCTGCCAGGGGGACCTGGCTCTGCTCCGCACCAACGGCAAAGTGCTGGTGGTCAGCATCGGGCCGGGCCTCCCCCGCAATGCCCGTAAGTCAGGGACACGAGATTTGATGGACGGGGGGGAGGGGAGACACACTTGAGCCTGCATGTGTGGGGGAAGCCCAGCGAGACAGCAACGGAGCACGCAAGGAGTGCAAAGACGCACGTTTTGCAAAAAAAGTTGGGACCTATTTGCCGGATTTTTCAGGAATTATTTGCCGGATTTTTCAGGAATTATTTGCAGGATTTTTCAGGAATTATTTGCAGGATTTTTCAGGAATCATTTGCAGGATTTTTCAAGAATTATTGGCAGGATTTTTCAAGAATTATTTGCAAAAGTTTCAGGATCCATTTGCAAAATTTTCAGGCCCAAACCGGAAGGACACCAGGAAAAGCCGGTACTCAGCGGGAGGCCCTGCCCTTGGCTGGAATGCCCAGACCAGCTCAGGTGAGAGGGAGCTGTCATTTCCAGAGTGCCCTCATTCCTTGGCCTCTCTTAAGCCAGCATTTCCCAATCCGTATCTCTTGGAGATAGAACGGACCCCCAAACGGCGCTCCTGGCACCCAGAAAGAGCCGGGCGGCAGGAGCCAAAAGCTGCCCCCAGACCAGCGGACGGGTGGGGGTCCAAGGCGCCTCCAGAACGACCGTCTAAGACTCTCTTTACGCCCAATTGGGCTGGGCGGAATTGCTGGGCGTTTGAAGCCGAGGCCGGCGGCTGACTTTCCCCTTCTCTGCAGGGTCGGCGTGGGGCAGCCACGGCCGGGGGGCCAGGCTCTCCTTCCAGCAGCGTCACTCCATGACCCGCCAGGGCAGCATGGAGCAGCCCAGCCTGCCACGCCAGGGCGCCAGCCCACGGGCGAGAGCCTTCCCTGCACCGCTTGACCTGGGCTTCATGGATGTCCCTGACCGAGGGGTGGCTGGGTGAGGGTCTCCCCCCCTCCCCAAGAATTATCTTTATTCTTCTTTCTCAACCTGGCCAACTCTAAAGTGGGTGGGCTTCAACTCCCAGAATTCCCCCAGCCACCTTAGAGCTGGAAATCCACGTACTTTGTTTACTGCCTTAAAACAACCTCTCTTTGCTCATGTTTTTTGGCGTGACTCAAGTGGGCAGGGACAGCCCTTGGCCACGCCACTCGGGGCTCTGCACGGCTGTGGGGCAACCTGGAGGTGTCCATGCCCAGCAAAATGCCAGGGAGCTGAGAACTCCCTTTTTTTCCCAGCCTTCGGCGCCATCTTAGCAAAGAGGCCAAACCCATCCCAGGTGGCGGCCGTGCCAAGCCCAAACCCAAGCCCAAGCCGCAGCCGTGCCTTCCCCGGTGCCGGGCTCTGTATGCCTACGACGCCCAGGACACGGACGAGCTGAGCTTCAACGCGAACGACGTCATTGAAATCATCAAGGAAGGTGAGGGCTTTCCGGGGGCAACCCTGAGGGCATCCATACAGCCAGTTGGTCTGGGAGACCGGAGCCCCGAGGGGGAGGGGCTTCGGGGGATGGCCAGGGGGTCTCCATGGAGGAGGAGGCCGGTCCGTCCTAAGCAAGGTTGTCCTTGTCCTCTTTCCAGATCCGTCGGGATGGTGGGAGGGCCGCATTCGTGGCAAGGAAGG